CTATAATAACAAATTCAACATGCTAGCATTGTTTAACTGTATAGCCTATACATCCTTAAGGGCATCAAGGAGATTATAGTTTTTTTCTTGGAGGTGGACAAACGAATGCAATTTGGTTTTTATAAAAATTTGCACTTGGGGTGCCAACTTCACAGAGACGAATATGTACGTTAATGATGCAAACGCGCTAACAAGAATTTAACGGGTGAAAGTGTGCGCTCGCGTTAGTCAGCGATCGGAAGCGAGTCAATGCGCGCAATTAAGCCCTGGTTTACATCAACGTCGATTCGATCTATGATTCGCAACACGAACGCAAAGTCAAGGAAGTGAAGCAATTAACAAAAAAGTGGCTTGCTATAAAGTTACAACCGTGTAAAACGTTCAATACGCCCTCGTCTGGCGGTTGAAACGTGGTTCAACTTCCTGGAGAGAAACGGAAACCGGACAATCTTGCATAGATTTATGCAAACAGTATATCAAATGTCGTTTAAAACATTTTATCAAATATTCTGGAAAATAGTATATGAAATAATGTAATAGGTCTTATTCGGAGAAATCAGAATGATCTACCTTTGGCTTAACACTTCTCAAGCGGGAAACGACTAACATCATTTTGTGTATATTATTATTAAAGCGCGGATAATAACACAACTCGTTTTCTACGAATTGTCGGTGGATTATTGTTATTGATGGGCTGTTTGGAGACAAACTGACTATTTTAGAATAACATAACTCTTTTCTACAGTGAATTCCTAAAAATGAACCACGATGATGTGTTAAAAAATTCCTTAGGGCTTTCTCTTCCCCATCGAGGGCCATTCGCTATTTAAATTAGTCATCTGCCTTATCATACGTCAGAGAAATGATAATATCACCTCTCTTCTCTTCGAAATGGTTCCTCATAATAATCATTTACTACATCAGGTAATATCTGAAATATCGTACAAATTACTATATCAATTATTTTATCAGAGATTAGAATCAGAGATTAGACATATCATGTGAATCATTTTGCGAATTATTGCATACATCATTATATGAGATATCAAGATGCTAGCCAGCAGTGAACCTGGAATGGTACTTGCTTAGTCAAGTTCCTGCGTGTATCCGCCGATTACACCATTTCGGTGTGGAATGCATTTACGGAGATATCGTCGCGCCTCGAACAACTAACGCGTAATTGCCCATTGCTGCGCAGTGCTCGCTGCTTGATTAAGTCTATTTATGTGCCGATGAAAACGTTACAACCGATCCTCTTTACTCGCCGTTTCTTTCATCCCGGGTCCCAACCCATGTTTTACGACCGCGTCACGTAATTGTATTTGTAATACAAATAGAGGAGTGCGATAAATCTGCCATTGGTGCTTCGCTCATCAGCAGAACGGACTGCTAGTTTCTTTGAATTATTAATAAATGAAAATTCTATACGTTAGAAATTTTTTATTAGGCGCGAATGGCGCGAGTAAATGAAGTATGCGAGGGTATGACGAATAGTAGGGAGAGAGAGAGAAAGAGAATATAAAAGGGAGCGAGCACCTGTAAGTGTGAGCTCAATTATAGAGAGTTCATTCCATTTCATATAAATAGCCAAAATATGTTGTTTAAATTATAATTATAACTCCGAATAAAAAAAATTGAAAAACGCGACTTTCACATTTTTCCTTACCCTTTTACTTAATCTCAATTTTTTCGCAATCTTTTATACACATAATTTAGTAAACTAATCCTCTTGACTACTCAAAAAAACTCAGATTGTTTGATCCAATTTTACAAAAGTTATTCAATTTGTGTGTTCAGTTTTGCTCTTAACTGTATATTTATATGTTATGAAATGTTTACCGTTTTCAGGTTGAAAACCATCATCGAGCTTATCATCGCGAATTACCACGTGTGGTCATTGGAATATCGATCAAGTACTTACGGACTGCCCTACCATAAAAGACAGTCGATTCCGACTACCTTGACTGTTCCAAACGCGATAAGTTTATCTTAAACGGCGATTAGCAGAAGGACGTAATAAGGAAGGTATATTTTTCACAAGAAAAAGAAAACGCGTAATTTTCCTACCGGGAATTTATCAATGAAAATATCTATAATGATAATGATTCGCGACAGATTATCTGGAATAAATGTCTAGTAACAATTAGCGATAAACACTAATGTCACATGACAACTTTATTACAACAAACATATGTAATTTCTAATATCTACTGCTGTAACATCAAGAAACTTTATTTTTTTTTATTGACATTTGTTCTTCCGTATATATTTATTCAAATTACTCCAAATATTCATATTCTTTTTTTTCCACAAAATAAAATTAGTAAAACAAAGATATTTTTGACGGTAATATTAAAAGAATAATTGTGCACAAGCAAAAACGTGCGACGTATAAATTATTATCGAACTAGTCAATAATCCGGTCGCAGGTCGTTCAGATAGCAAGGCACGTTCACGGTAAGAGGCTAAACATCCTCGAAAATCCACTGCAATTCTATGGCCCTCAACGGGGACGAAATTTAATGACGTTTTCCTATGAACATAGATGGATATGGCCATAACGAGAATATACGAGACTTGCCAAAGCAGCTTCTAAAAAAGTACTCGAAGCAACAATAGTGACTCATAAATGTGCGTAGTATTGTTGTTCAACGTACTACGCAGCCTGCCACATTATTTTGCATATTTTAAAGCAGCACTTTGTTTGCAATAAAAGACATGACATTTCGTTAAATCTGAATTATGACTGTTAATCTAGCTTAACAACGATACTGCAAAGAAATTTTTTTACGGAACGAGCGTCGTTAATCAGCCCGGTTTTATTGTATGCAACTACGAGTGCGGGGATTATTTCTTTTTGTTCGATGGAGAAAGCAAAAGCGATCGACAAATAGAATATGTTTCTCTACGGTCACTGCACTATTCGCGGTGCGTGTCGCGGCTTTTCAGGGACGTGAGTTTCGTCGCACTGGCCCGGAAAATGTAGCGCACTGCGACAAATTTATGCAACGGGAAATCGCGTGTAACATTCGACGTGGTATCAACTTCGCAATCGTCAGAAACAAACCGCGCATCATTTCTATTCGAACAATAGTATTAAAAAGAATAATTGCGACCTACGAATCATTATCGAACTAGCCAATAATCTGGTCGCGGGTCGTGCACGTAGCAAGGCACGTTCGCGGTAAGAGGTCAAACATCCTCGAAAACCATTGCAATTCTGTGGCCCTCAGCGGGGATGAAATTTAATGACGAACGACGGAAACGTGCCTAACGCGACGCTTCCTCCTCCCATAAACGGAGGGTCCTCGAAGGAGAGAAAAAAAGAGAGAGGAAGAGAGAGACCCCCGGCCAGCTGCCGCGGTCGGTTCTCTCGATAGTACATTCGTCGGGCGTAGTTATGCGTACGGCCCTGAGCGGTTTCTCCTCGCAAGTACACGTGTACGCACGCGAGATGCGCGTATAAATACGCGCGCTTCGCGTCGGTTTATTTATACGCAAGGGTGTCCGTTGCGTGGCACCCACACCCTCGCCGCAACGGAAAATCATGTTTTGTTTCCTTCTCGTCGCGATTCATTGTCATGGTGACTGAGATTTAAATAGTTTAACGAATTCGGCAGAGGTTAATAGAAACTTATTTACATGTGGACACGCTTGGATAAACGAGAAACGCAGGTTTCAAGATCAGATATTACTAATTTCACTCCGGTTTGAACTTGACTGATCGCGTCGCGTTCAAGATAATTGCGCAGAGATATTTCAACTAATAACCAGGTTGCGAATTTTATGAATTTATAAAAAAGAAGTACACGTAGTATCAGCGCGTCGTGATTTTTAAAGGAATATCTTACTGTATTTTGTTGAAAGTTTCGTCTTGCATAAAAATTTAGCAATATATAACAAGAGATTGGCAATAAATCTAGAAAATGTAAATCGATAGGCGAAAGGAGAAAGCGAAGAGAGGACGTAACCCTCAAAGGAGGACATTATCTCGCAGATGTGGTCTGATGCACGCAATACAGTCTACTTCTTTGGCGAAGTAGGGTGAAGCGTGTTTCGGCATGAAATATTGCGTGCCGCCGCAGCTGCGCTTCTCTCTTTGTCTCCTTTTATTCACCCCGTGCACAACGTGTCTTCTGCCCCTCCTCCGCCTCATGTTTCCCCGCATAAGAAAACTGTGCGACACGCCAACGCACCGCGTTAAATATGTGTACTTTTACTTCCAACTGGCGAGGATTAATTCCTCCGAGATCTTTTAATAAAACAGTCTTAATCTCTCCAGTTTCCAACGATTCGTATCTTCGTTTCTTGTAGCGCGACGTTATCGCGCAACCCGGCTACATACAATGCGAGAAACTTTATCTCTCGTGCCGCCGACATGTGCTCGTAAAATGCGCACGAACTGAAAGTCGCGAATCGCAATACGAAAAGCGTTTTAAAAATAGCCGGTTGAAAAATTCTTTCTATATAATGCGATCAGACGATACGGTTAACATGGTTCGCGTGAAAGGAATTATAAACAAGGAATTGTAGATAACGAACGTAGCATTTTTCGCAAAAGTGTTATTTCCCGCCAGTTCGCGCACTAACATGGGAGCGGATCGAACAGTAAAGCGTTCCACGGTGCGCATCGTTTGCCGCTATTATCGCACCCGGTCGTTCATATTAAATTCATCCCTATGAATTTCCCCCGAGCGTAATTTTCTGTCAACATCACGAAAAACGTTTTGCATACGACAACAATTAAGATTCTTAAACATAGGAGAATTTCTATCAGGAAGAACGTAGTACGAATAAATGGAAGGAGTTCATCAATGTAAGTTCACGTGGGAGATTAGATAGAAAGAGATGAGAGAAATCTTTATCGAAATCGTATGCGCTAGACATCGTTGCGTGACTTGTTACGATCGAATTTCTAAACTACAGTAGGTATTGGAAATCGCAAGTGAAAATGCGAAAAAGAAGAGTATCGTAGGACGGCGTGAGATAGGTTCGCAAGCACGCAAGCGTGATCTCCTTTCGGGAGTTCGAGGGATGTACATTATCAATGATAAAATCCGCGTATGAATGCTTACTTTTTATCGAGTCTGTAGATTTACTGGATCGTGACAACCGGCGAACGAGGTAGCCGATCGCGAGAAGCAGACCGCCGAGGAACAGCGTGCTCGCGAGCACGAACACGGACACGCTGATTCCCGGCACGACGATTTTCCCTTCTGTATCCTCCATCTTCACCGCGTGATTAAGCCACACAACACTTTCCTCTTTTACCTCACCGCACTTTCGGCACACGCTCGACTCAATCCAGGTCCGTTAAAAGTCACGGCGAAATTCGTACACGGGCACGAGACGCGAGCCTGGAACACATACACGACCGCGTGTTCCAAAAAACACGAGATATCACGCAACGATCCGCGGGCAGTGCGTCAACTCTACGGCGAGCCTAGACTACTCGCTTTATAGATGCGGTGCCCGTTTGCTGCCAGTTTTCTAACCATAAACCAGACGAATCGCAGAAACGAAACTCATCTTCCATCTTCGTCCGCCGGCAACGATCGCATTTGATTTCAACCGGAATCTCAATTCGAAATTAGAACGCGATCGGTTCTTTACGATTCGCGAATCTTAAGTTCTCCGAGCGGCGCGAATTTCATAATCGAAGTTCGACCGCCTCTTTCGGATGAAAGAACGTCGTTCGCATTCCTCGAGCCCCCACTTGGTTTTTTCTTGGCACCGTTAAGAGATTCTACTCTACGATGATAAAGTTACCACTAAAAATCTTTTCTGGGTCACGCAGCGTTTGTAGCCTTCGTTTCGTCTACCGACACACTTTGTCCGCTCGAAATTCGTTGCTCCACGAAAACGGACACTCGATTATTATCCAGCACTGGACATTTATGTCATCAGGAAACTGAACGCGCGAGCCAAGAGCCGGCGACTCTTATTTCGCATTCGCGAGGAGAAACGAACAAGTGCCGACCGAGTTTAGAAAAGTTCTCGACTACTAATCCTCGTTGTATATCATCGAATAAGATGCGTACGGTTTGCTCGAAACAATTTTCATTTACCGCGCAACTTACGTAAGGGTACACTCAGAAATCGGTCGCAAAATGATCGCGGATAGGACGCGGTGTTCAGGAGTTTGACGAACGAACGTGTTTGCCGGGACACGCCGATAGTACCGGTATATACGCGCTGCTAGCCTAGCCGCTTCGCGTTTTTTTAACCCGCTCCTTCGAACATTCCCCACCCAGTTAAATCCCCACGAAGTTCTCGCGGTTCTCCCACCGCGGTTGCGATCGGACTTGCGCGCTCGAACTTTGGCGGGCAAGCGAGGAGCGAAACCACGTTTTCTCGATTGATATTCCACCGATCGATACGATCCATCCCGTCACAATGAATACTGATTTCATTCACATTTGCAAATCTTTAGCTGCCAACTTTAACAGCTTTGTCAACATTTCCTGATCGGACTCACAGCTTCAATTTAGATACATCTTTTTCCCCAAAACGAGTAGGATAATGACACTGTATGTAGCAGTGGAATTCCGGAAATGCAATTACGTCATTTCGTTCACACGGATGACAGAGTCATTTGAAATTTCCAGGAACGGAGTAACGGCATTCTAGGAAACCTGATGACTAGTCCATATTCGCCGCGGTCACGTTCGAGACTCCCGACTGGATATACTATCTCCACAGATTCTCTGTACTGCGTCTTTACCATCGATAACGAATACGTGCTTATCTCCGGAACGTTATTGTTAAATAAGAATCACTATATTACCGACCAGATGTTCTCATTACGTGATTCATTGATTGAATATTCCTTCATTTCACTATAATTTCGTCTGCTAAAACCCGCGCATTCTCTCTCTCTCTCTCTTTCTCTCTCATTGTCAGATATAAGTATGCACGCGAGCATCACCAGGACTCGGTGATGTTACATGATCTATACTGTGACCTAACGACTAGGCCTACAAACGTGCTCGTAACGGCAAGATGCGTTAAATTCAACCCGTTATTCGCTCCGTTACTTTTCCTCATTTCAATCGTCTTCGTCCTCGATTTAACTCTCTCACGTGCAGGTCTCCTCGCCACCGTGCTCGAGTATAAACAGAACCCTCCGGTCACATACAGAGTGTCCATTTTTACGAACGCTTAAAAGACAACCAATAATACCAAAGAAATGTATATTGTTATGCAATCCTACCCAGGAAATAAGAACCGTATCGACTTTTATCAATGTCTACGTGCCAGCTCCTTTAACGCATTGATATTATAAACTCTACTTATCCATCGTTATTTACCAAATAAATTTTTCCTGAGAATATCGTTATATATTTTTAACAATAATTATACCAGCTTATCTGCGGTCGCTTCCTCACCACATTTCCCGCGTCTACCTACGTGTCTCTTCACGAATATACTCTCCGAGCCAACGAACTCTAGCTCAAGTCTAAAGGTTGTTTGCCCGGAGTTTTCGTCGATGTCGATTTTCGTGGACGCAATTAACCGCGGAAAATTGAAGTTAACCGACGGATCGTAACGAGTAATGAAGCGTTTACTCTCATAATCTCGTTACACTGTTAACGCGAAGGGAAACTGCATTAAATACGATCGATAACATTTTCCGGGAAGAAATTGTTTAATTACGTAGAATTTTCTCGTTACTTCAACGATTAATCACGTCAAAAAAAAAAAATAAAACATGCTTCATTATAAATACCACATGGTCTAGAGATCTTCATAGAAGAAGAAACTTCAAAAGAAAATGTAACTGGATATTCAATGATTAAATCTTGTCAAACATTCTTAACGATGGTGGGAATGCTTTCACGCGTCAATGGTCTGATAAAGTAAACAGACGTTAAAAGTAACAAAAATACACGTCACGAAAAGCGTCATGTTTTCACGTCAAGAGACCAAAAATATTTGTCCATCTTATCGGCAAAGAATACACGCTAGGATACATATATTTCTTATTAGTAGCATGCTACGTTTATTTGCATCTTCCTCTGACCTAAGGCCAGTCTGGATAAGAACTGGAAAAAACAGAAACAAGGTGTGTAAATTCTGTGTACTCCCAGCTACGTAAGATATTTATTCTTTGAAGATGCTAGATAGGCTATCGTTGACTCGACGGGTTTTCCTGTCGCGTGTAAACGGAGCGAATTCAATGAATTCCCGCGCGACTGCGAGTTGCAGTAATTGCAATTCAATTGATACGTTAATTATGCATAACGATTTCCTAGCACCGTGAATTAATGCAACGCGGATCGTTAATATTATTCCAGTTTTTGCTTATTATTATCGTGCTAAGCATGTATCGTTAATAAAGCAACACTCTGTATGCCGCGATCTCGAGTATCTGAACTTTGAAATTGGCACAATGCCATGAAAGAAGTGCGCAATTTCGTGGCGGGATTGCCGCGTCCACGTTACCGGGAAGAATAATTTTGGGACGCGAGGATGCAGTCTGCGTCAATGAGATTTCGCGAAAAAATTAAGTCAAGAAACGAGAGACCTTCGGAACGAGGATAACGTCTCTTGGCGTTTAATAATATCTATATACACGTACCATAAATCAATCTAATGGCGTATTCAGAGTACGAAGTCCATCTGGAAATCATCACGACGTTAGAATTTCAACAGCTGAGTGCGGGCAATCCAATGCCATAGTCCGAAATGCGAGGTATAGGAAAAAGTAGGTAAGAGTGGCAATCAGCTTTTATATGTTTTTATTACCTCATATTTTGGACTTCGGTGGGTCTTCTAAGATCGTGAGAATTTCCTAACGGACTCTGTAGTGTAAATACTCCACAATAGCGTCAGACGATTGGCGCGTGTGACACTAAAAACGTCAAACGACACCACGCGAGATTTGATTTCGATATATGACTTATTCGCTTCGATCGACTCCGTTTATGATTTTGTCCAACTTTACATCAGAATGCATGATTATAGGTGAATTGTCTTAAAACCGATTAATTAATATTGAGACAAGATTGTTTTTTAACTTACTGTTCATATCTTCTCCTTAATCACTAAAACACGAGTCCAACGTTTTCTAGTTTCGTTATCACAAATGATGTAGCACCGTGAGTATCGTATATTGTATCAGTTGCTCGACTACGATTTCTTTTAGATGAATGAACGTTTATCATGGATAGGCATTAGGCTGTGTCTACGTCGCGATGCTTTTTCGATAGCTATACATACCACTCGCGTCTTCGACACTCACGTGTCGCGACTGATCAAAACAAAGAATACTCACCACGTTCGAGTCTCGGTCGGTCCTCGACGATCCTTTGATCCTCTACCACGATCGATGTTACAGTCATTACTTATTTTCTTCAAATCAGATACTACGCTATCGTCGGTCGTTTCATGATCAAAAACCGATATCCGACTCCGAGATGGAGAACGTCGCGGTACCGACGATGCATCGGCCTGCGTTTCACTGGTCCTCGCGATCCGCGATCGGCGAACACCACCGAGGAAAAAAGGTCGCGTGCGTGTCAGGAAAACGCGAGCTCGAAAACTGTGGACGATGCGGGAATGTGTGAAACCGTTGAGAGGGAAGGGCGTGTTTCGTACGTGGTGCGTGGTCTATTGCGGCCAACCCGTGGCATCGTGTATACTGAGTCATGAGTAACATGTTCCCGCCGGTTTATGAAGAGACTCGTTCAACTGATGTGCGCATGTGTCGGTGAATGCACCCGCCGGCCGCGCGCGCCTATATCGACACGTGTTGCACGACGATAACGATAACATGCCGCTGCTGCATCGCGAACGACGCAGAAAACTGGCGGGATCGTCGTCCGGACTCTCCTCTCCTCCTCCGATTTTGTTCCTACCAAATTTCTCTCGCTTCTACCTACTGCGATAACATCCGCTGGCTTTAAGCCCCTAGTAGGTGCATACGTGACGGCCGGACCTAATGACAATAGTTCGTGTAATTATACTTATGAAATCCTATACGTTTTTACAAGTGTTCGATGTATTTGCACATACATACATTAATGATAAATAAACTAATTAAGAAAGAGCTTTGACTCTCATTTCTATTTACCTAACGTGTAAAAATATGTTATACGTACATATACTGTTATTCGTACTGCGTTGCATAAATATTGACGTAGTTACAATAATGATTTTGCTCTAAATATAAAAGTTAGGTAGTTAGGATCGTACGAAAACCAAAAATAGATCGGATCAATGTATACATTATGTACGTGTTATATACGTATTGAAAAACAAAAGAACTGATTACAAAATTATACGAAATATATAAGATATTCAAGATTTTCTCACAGATTAGGAAGTTTCATAACAAAGAATATTTTAAATGAACACGGTTTATTTGATCAGCTTTCGAATTTTAAAGTCAGTTCAATTCCATTCTTAATCTTCGTTGAAGTATTTAGAATCTTGCACAGCATATGACATATAGGTATACTGTCAAGACGATTCACTCAATTCTATTGGAATCAGTTCGAAGAATAATGCATTTATCGAGAAGCTACACTTTCGTTGAACGTTTTTGAAAATAAATACAGGAACTGAAACAAGTTTTCCGCCTACAAATTTCTCGATTAATAATTCGTACGATATTTTCTTCTGCTTACTTCATGTATATACAATAAAATTAACGATGGCTGTTTGGAATGTTTCATTAATATCATGTTAAATTTTTTTATCTTATGTATCTGATTTGAAACATGATTGAATAAATACACGTAAAAAGATTGAACAAATTACGATGAATGGGAAAAAAAGAAGTGGACGAAGAGGTCGAGCTCCTTCGACCTCGGTACCACCAGCCCAACAACGAAGGTTAGCGCGATTTATACTATATATAGAATATCCAAATTATATAACTTCAGAGTTACATAACTCTGGAAATGATTCCATACTTTCTCAAAAGACATATACATTTTTTTTTAAGTCAGACAATTATCGATTGACGCGATAAACATATATTTTATGTACATGAACTGACTAATTTTATAGAAAAATATTGTTTTGCACAAAATGACGCATCACCATGCAATATTTTATGGTATTACAAAAAATTATACTTATAAGAATTTATATTAATTTTGTAAATTAGAACGAATTTTCTGTCAAGTAGTAAGTTAAATTGATTTTACATACGCGAATCTCGTGACCAGCACTGCTGACAACATCGTGATTCCTACCTCGTATCCTGTGAAGTTAGCTCATGATGGATAATATACTAAATTTCTTTGTTTAAACGTATTAATCCTACGAAATTCAAACGTCTGTCGCGAAATTTAAAGAAGAAAGCTCGATCAGAAGACGCGTTTCGCAAGATTTTCATCGAATTGCAATTACCTAAAGTGCGTCTCATTTTTCAACGTTTTCCTGCCTTATTTCCGGAAAAAGTTCGTGGACTCTTCCCGAGTCTGCGCAACTTGGTTTGATTGCATAACGCACTCCCAGATACAGATATTAGAGTTCGCGGCAGTAAGGCAGTATCGAGAGAAGCTCGAACGAGAAACGTAAGCGATTGAAGTGTTCTGTGAAATTCCGTGCGCTCGAAAACCGTAAAACATGCCACGACGACGTGCAGCCGCTCCTCCACCAAGGACGTAAGTATATTTCCCTGGAAAACTCCGGTTTCAATGATATGCCGACGATTTTACATTTCGTGTGACGTCAGTCCTAATCAAATTACGTGCTATTCCGCAAGTCCATGCAATTTTGTAGCAACAATGATTTTATTAATTGTAGGGTCAGAACTGCTGTTCCAGCCCGAGCTGCTCCAGCTCCACTCCGAACTGCTCCGCCTCCAGCTCCAGCCCATGTTCCGGCACATGCCCCAGCATCGACACCGATGATGGCTCAATCTCAACAACCGTCCCTCATGGGACAAATGGCTGCCACCGCCGGTGGTGTAGCTATCGGTTCAGCCGTCGGCCACACTCTCGGACATGCCATGACTGGACTCTTCTCTGGAAGTCCCAGTGAGACTGCTGTTGCGCCGGCGGCAGCTGCTGCTGAAATTGCACCTGCTGGCGGAGCTTGTGCCTGGGAGGTGAAACAGTTCATAGAGTGTGCTCAAAATCAATCAGACCTCACATTGTGCGAAGGATTCAACGAGGCTCTTCGCCAATGCAAAACATCTAACAGTAAGTAAATCCTTTTACTCGATATCAAATTTACCTTGCATGGAATCATATGATTAAACTTGTACTTCTTTCTTTGTTTCAGATTTACATTAGACAAGTATTCTTTCAAAGGCAAAATAGCATTTGGACAATAGGAGAAATTTAGAAAGTCGACACTCTGTAAATTAATTTGATAAGTCCTTGAAATTTTGATTTCATTTTTAGTTTATGTTAAACTAATGTTATACCGATTATATCTATACATTATATGCTGATATCTGTAGAAGCAATCAATTGGCATGAAATAAATTAATTTCCGTGTACATGCTTGTGCACATTTATTTATGTAAACCTACCCTTTGCCTACGCTTATAACACATAATTAAAACATACTTAGGAAACAAGACATGTACGATGTTTCTGCATTACATATTATAATGAAATACTTTTCTTTCCCTCTCCTCCATATTTTTAACTTGATTTATATAATGATCTCTATAGGTTTAAGGCAAAAACTACGCCGTCCCAATCCTGGCCAAATAGTAATGCTCACTCTTCCGTTTTTCAAAATGCAGCTAGTACTGCAGCGGGAGTTGTTGTCGGTTCCGTTATAGTAAGTATCGACTTTTCGTCAATCTTCTTTTCTAATTAACGATCATATCGATTCGTACAAGGGCCAGGCCATTGGAAGCACAATGACTGGGAACATGGGTCAAGTGTCATCGGGAAAGGATCCTAAAAATATTTCTACGGACGCGGAAGTAACATGCATTCCCGAGATACGCGAGTTTTTCGAATGCGCTTCAAGAAACGAAGATTTGGACACTTGTAAAGCTTTCCATAACAACTGGATGAAGTGTCAAAATTTGTATAAACAACAGCAGAGTTGAGGAACGAAGGAGAACTCTGATAACTGTTATAAAGTAATTATGATAAATTAATGATTTAAGAACATAGTTTATTAACTTAACGCGTTTTTCAAAGGCGGCCTTATATTTGACCAAAAGAGGCAGTTAAATGTGCAAGAAAAGGAATATGGTAGACTATCTCTTCTCTGTATTTAATACGCGCATTACCACGAAACCGGCAACGGTGGCAACCGCGATCCCAAGGCCAGCCTTCCACCAGACGATCGAATCCCCTTGAATCAGTCCAAACTGATTTATATGTCTGAAATTTCAAGAATTATTTCTCATAGCGACTGTGAATGAATTCTCCTGAATTCTCCGATGCGAAAATAAATTTATGTAATGCATAACTCCATGATATAAACGCAACATACTATTGCTACAATAAAATTAATCTAGTTCTAAAGATGTCTTGATAAATAAAATAGAAAAATCAATATATCAAAACGAGGATTCAAAAGATTGATCACGTTTCATGCCCATGCAGCGAACAAATGACAAATAATGTGGATATATTATATTTCGTATTGTAAGTCATGAGCACTCCGTGAAATGAAGAGAAACTAATAATACAAACAAAAACCTTGTAAAAGAACTCCACCATTGAGTGGGTGAGGATTTGTCAAGCAACATGTGGACCATACGCCTCAAAGGACTGAAAAGATTTAAGACCTATTGTTATGATAGTCTCAGTCATGCGACATCCTCGGATATGAGCAAATCGCCTAGCACATTTCACCGAATTATACTTATACGTACGTGCAATGAAGGCTATGATTATAGAAAGAAAAAAAATGTGATTCACGATTTGCTCAAGCTTACAATGCTTACAGTGTTGCAAAAATTCAGACCAACCTGTCTCTGTAAAATAATACCCATGCTCCTTGAAAGCGGCTAAACATGAAACCTTTTTGTTAGTGTTTAATAATAATTCCATAAAGATATATTACTCTTTCTAAATTCTAAACAATACTGATAGATGTCCGATAGCATTAATGAATGCATCGCAATTCCGAGTCTATTTACATCTATTTCCTCAAGATATAATAACATTTCTGGAGCTTTTACTTCTACTTATTCAATGATGATTTCAACTTACGGGAAAGCTGCCATAGTCGCTAATTTAACGAAGATTTCACGTCGTATTGTACGGGAGATGCTGTACGGTTGCGGCGGCATCAGTTTGTACTTATTGCAAAAACTTACTGGTTGTAACAAGTAGTCTTGTTTCACCTCAGATAAATCGCTCTTATTCGCTATTATGAGAACCGGAATCTTACTATCTGCAAAATATTTCTGAACACGTCCGAGAATTTAATTATACTCAGCCTTTTCTATTATCTATATATATTTAGATTTCTAATATTTTATACTTACGATATAAATCCGGGCGATATATTCGAACGATTTGGGATTACTGGCATCGTAAACGAGAGCGGCTGCATCACACTGGATTTGTGCTGGAGTCAAAGCATCCTGAACATTGAGTATGTTTATGTCCCGTAAAATTATTGTCTTCTCCTGGCCGTAGACGTGTACCGTGTTCACGGTAACGTGCGAAGTTGGCGGGACCACTTCGTCCGTCAATTTCTGCAATCACATGACGCGTGTTATTCGAATATCGTTAAACATATGTTGCATTACACGTGCGTACATCGTATATACCTCGAGCTTGGGGTCAATAAACGTTCTGCACAGCGTCGTCTTACCGCTGCTCTTCGGACCAATTACATGACAAGTATAAACATTTCTGCTCGACTGCTTCTTCGCCAAGTCTAACTTTTTCTCGCGTGTAACGATAATCGCGTTCGTCTGACACTCGTTATTGTACATATTATAGCCAAGATATGCCATGTATTCCAATGTTCTTCGCACGTTCGTGAGAGTCAACAGCGCCCATTGACACATATATCCTTGAAATGTAATCCACCCCTGTCATAGAAAGAGGCGAAGTAATTAACAAGAATTATAAGACTGATTAGTAAAAATGAAATACCTTTTCATTAGTTGGGACAGTATATTTATATTCATCTCCCCACGGTGGAGCTACACATCGTGAGAACAGTGAATCCATTTCTGATGGGGATAGAGCACCATCTCGATCCCGATCGTGTTGCATGAATAAGAGTGTTAAAAATTCCTGTCCTTTATGTGATAATTCAGTCGTACAACCGAGAGGAACTTTCAACCTGTTTAATAAAATAATAAATAGAATACAAATTCAGTGTAGTTACTACATTTTACTAATCGGATACTAACGGTGGATGTATATATTCTTTAGACATCTGTAACTCATTATCATAGCCAAATTTTCTTAGCACAGCCCAGGTAGTTTCGTTTCTTCCTCGTTGAATAAATAAACATTGAAGGTACATAAAACCTATAAAGATTAAAAATATATTTCCACGTTTATCACTCCGTTAATATCGTTAAATACCTTTCATAGTAACACATCCGCAACAAATGCCATCTTGAATATTTTTCGATAAAACTGCCTTAACATCCTCCAATACTTGCGGTTGCAATGGAGTGTTAAAGCACCATTGTTGAAATGCATTTAGCTCCACATCATCTAACAAACCATCGTTGTCCAGATCGCATATCTGTACAAAATAATGTAACACAATAAGCATATGATAGTAAACAATGCAGTTTGTGTAACTAGTACACTTACCTTGAAAATTCTTTGTAGTGCATGCTTGCATTCTTCTGTAAGCTAAATGTTATATTATTCAGTAAGTTGTTGACACGCGTGTGTACAGAGCATATAATTCGAAGTAAGTCTTACCTCCTGGGTATCGTAATTGTAAAGCGGTGTGGTAGGATGCAGTACAGCTTTTTGTGCATAATAAAATGTTTCTGAGACATTTTGTAACGTTTTGGCAGAGCACTGCAACAAAGATTGTTTTCATGACCCATGCGATACGTTTGTCTTTATAATCATAAGTTGAGTGCTCTTACCTCTATACAACTCTCAATTTCAGTGAATTCTTTCATTATAGGATATACAGCCTATTAGAATGATAATAAGATTAGCGCTTCGGAATGAAATAAACAAAGACATTATATAAATTCAATGAACCTCAATAGTAGAATAGTCAACAAGATCAATCTTATTTCCCACAAGCACGACTGGGCAACGATTATTCGTTGAACATCGTCTTATCAATGGCAACCAGTGGGTAGCTGCTCTGTCCAGTGTGTCTTCATCAACGACAGAATACACAACACAGATCACATGAGCTTTCTGTATCTCTTCTGCTAACTGATCATCAGTTTGTTCAACAGCTAGAAGTAAAATTGCGGATATAATAGATAAATCAATGTAAAAAAACATCGTGAAAATGTAAATTTTACGTACATGAATAATCAACTATGTGCGTCGGTACTTGCTCCGGCGTGACGTCCGCCGGGATAGTGATTTCTTCAGCTTTACAGGGGACATCTTCCGCGTACTCCTCGCTGACCAACGATAATATCAAAGATGTCTTACCCACTTCGCTGTCGCCGATTAACAGAATTCTGACATTGCGCCTAGGCGCGACTGCGTTACATTGCACCATGTTGACTTTAATGAAACGATTTTAGCACATAACAGCGGCATTCGAACCGCCTAATCCTTCAACGACATTTCTCAGCTAGGTTCCAACGAAGCTATTCGTTACACACACTTTTCTCTAACCTATAATCCGAACACCTTGGCCAGGGCTCACCAACAGGCAAACGTCACGTCTCAATAAATTCTCAATGTTTTACGACGACATTGTTATCAGTAAATCGCGATCTACGAATTGAAATCAGATTATGTGTTCCCGGGGATCCGCCGAGAAAAAGCGTTGGTTCACCCGCTGCGATTGAACTTGTGCTTCGAGGGTGGGCTTTTCAAGGTTACGGATTCAGTACTTCGAACAACAGTGTACGCATATACGTATGAAACAGGTAGACACGTGTGCGTGCGGCTGTACAGGACGGCCGGAGCGTACGAAGGGATGATCCTATCCTATGTCGCGAAAAACGATTGGGAAGATCGCTTTCCCTTTGCTAGGTTGATAGACAAAACGAGCAACATGAATAGAAAATCAGTCTATTTGTGGAACGAATTTCATGGATCCGCAGCGCCCATATTTAAATTACATGCGGCTTTAGTTATACCTTATACCTCGTAGAAATCGATAGCGGTCAAATATTTCGCTATAGAGAGTGACCTCCGACTAATTTTTTAGAATGTCAAATGTCGATTTACATTTTTGACTAGTTTAAAGTCTTCATTCCATTCTAATGAAACGTATAAACAGTTAATTGTGGAGTTTTAATTGGTAATGAAGAAATAAAGAAGCATTTTATGTGAACTTTTCGATTCTAAATTCTTTTAAGAAAGTTTCGCGTTGCTATGTGTGGCATTTCGATGAAACAGATTGCTGAAACATTGCTCGGTTAAAAACATATTATTGCATCAACTATTAAAATGAAAAATAACAATGATATACGCACCGAAGTGAAAAAAAAATTTATGATTGCGTTGGTACTATCTAAATGTATGTTCTTGCTTTTTATTTATCGCTCGTGTAAGATTTCTTTCTCTCTGCCCACACACATGTGCAATTATTTGTAAATTTTTTTATTTATGCTATCATACATCGATAAGTTAAAACATAAATTGTAGTACGAATGTTAGAGAAACCTTTGTTCGTTGAATATATTTAACAGCAACAATATCTTCATTAGAAGAATGTTTGCCGGAGGCCAAAGTGTTTCCCTTACCACTCGAACTGTGTATCGCAATAGAAAACCGATTTGTTTTTTCTTTCCATACCCCCCAGGGATATAAAAATATATTATCGAATGCTTTGAGCAAAGCGATGACCTTTGCAGATAGACATGTATAGTCACCTGAAACATACAGATATATTATCTTCGTGCATGAAGATACCGCTGACCCCGAACATTTCAGGGTCTTTTTAAAATAATATTAAAAATACAACAAAAGCTTTGATAACTTTTTTATCATACACCCTGTAATGTAATTAATATAAGAATATATTATTTATTAAGAAACTATTTCTGCGTTCTTTGTTCCTTCCTATTAATTTTGTTTTGTGCAAGTTTATTTAAATAAAATGCTTGATACTCCGAATTACTTTCGGTGTACTTTGTTTCAATAATTAAAACAATACGCTTTCGGTTTACTTTGTTTCAATAATTAAAACAATACGTTTTCGGTTTACTTTGTTCAATAATTAAAACTACGAATTCTAATCTTACATTTACATTTAGAATTGTCTACGTTTTTCTTTTTAAATCCAATTCCAATAGTCTTCAAATTTCGAAACGAAGTAATTATACATTCTAATGTTTAAACTAAAATTATTGCTAATGTCTTTTCAATTAGAGAAGCTATTTATTTCGGAGAAACGCGAAGCATCAAAATGGCAAATAAAAATTTCTCGACGGGGGACATTGAATTTTTATTACAATACGTATCATTGCACACATGCACGTACCAATCTTCGATTGGCTGTATCGAATATATTCGAAATAGCAAAGGATATCGCGGGTAGTATCGAAGGGGGGTGGGTCGACAGGTCGTCGATAAACCTCTTCTTCGATAGTATTCGGGTATAAAAGACTGGCCGAATATGCAGTCAGCATCGCACCACATCACTGCATTCCACGATGAGGTGCTTAGTAGTCCTGTTGGCTCTGGTAGCCTTAAGTGCCACCGCTAGTATCAAGCAACAACAACGTGCTGGTAAGTTACACACCTTAATTATGATCTTCAACATTTGGAACGAAGTTTGTTATTTTTATAATACAAATTATTCGATTTATTTGATCATCGTACTCTTGTAATTGGTAACATGTCGTGGTCTTACTTATGTTTCTTCACATCAAATGAATATGTGAACTTGTTCCAGCCGACCAGTCTTTTCTTCAAAAACAAGACGATGTAATCCAACTCCTGCAGAAGGTCACACAGCCGATTCCCAACCAGCAGTTGCAGCAGCTTGGTCAGAACTATGACATCGAAGGTAGCGCTCACCAGTATCAGAACCCGACGATAGTGAAGTACTACGCGGCTGCTGTGAAAGCTGGCCTAACGCAACCGCAAGGTACAGCACACAGCAACTCTGTCAGTCAACTTCGCAAGGAGGTTGCCCTTCTGTACAGAATCATGTTGGGTGCTAAAGACTACCAGACCTTCCTCCAGACCGCCGCCTGGGCACGCGTTCACGTCAACGAAGTCCAATTTGTCAAAGTATAAAAGAAAAGAACAGTTTCTTGACTCGTTGTACTGTCTCGCACATCGGATTAAACGATTTTTCTGTTAATCAACAGGCTTTAGCTGCCGCTGTACTGAGTCGTCCTGATACCCAAGGTGTCGTTCTGCCACCACCTTACGAAGTCCTGCCCCAGTACTACCTGGACGCCAGAGTTATCCAGCAAGCTCAGGACATTTCCATCCAACAAGCGATGCAACAGCAACAACAGCAACAACAAGGAGGAAATCAACAGGATGTCCTTATCCCTGTCAACTGTACTGCTTCCCTCTCCAATAACGAACAGCAAGTGTCCTACTTTACCCAAGACATCGGTCTTGCCGCGTACTACGAGTACATCAACCTCGCCGGATACACCTCGTCACAGGTAAATTTTCTAAAGACAAAAGATTTAAATAAATGAAATTAGACATGAATTAATATTGATCTGATCCCAGGAACAACAACAACAACCACAGCCTATGACCAAGCAGCAGTACGAACAGCAGCTCGTAGGCAAATATCTGCAGCAGGGACAACAGGACCAACCCCAAAATGGTCGTGGAGCTCAGTACCTCTACCTTCATCAACAGCTCTTAGCTCAATACGAACTTAACCGTCTCGCGAACGGTCTTGGACCAATTGAAGAGATCGACTCTGAAAACGTGCAAGCTCCCTTCCAGCCGCACCTCCGCAACCCCAACGGAATAGAATTACCAAGCCGTCCTCAGAGCCTGAATCTTAAAAACCAGCCCAACCAGAAGCAACTCGCCGAATCTGTCTGGACCATGGAACAAAGACTGATGGAAGCCATCGACTCTGGCCACGTAATCACTCCTCAGGGCATTTTCCTTTCTCTGTACCAACCGCAGGGCCTGAATATCCTTGGTGATTTGATCGAAGGAACCGGCAGAAGCGTGAACCCAAGGTCAGTCATCTTGAAAAAAGCTTTCAAGAATTAGTTAAATTTTATATAACATTTTTAATGGTTTTGTTTAAAACAGGTACTACGGAAGCCTCCAGGCTGCAGCCCGTAAACTGCTTGGTAACGCTCCGGAAGTCCAAAACATCTGGGACTACAGTCCGTCCGCTCTCGAACTTGGACAAACCGCCGTCCGCGACCCTGCCTTCTACCAGCTGTACAAGAAAGTGATGAAGCTCTACAACCAATACCAGCAGTCTCTGCCTGCCTACCAGTCGAACGACTTGATCTTGCCCGGAGTTAGCATTCAGAACGTTGAAGTTAGCGAACTCGTTACCCTCTTCACTGACTATTTCGTCGACCTCGACGCCGTCACTGCTCAAGGCACGAGCCAAAGCCAACAGCAACAACAAGGTCCACAGCAACAACAGGGTCAACAGCAACAACAGGGTCAACAGCAACAACAGGGTCAACAGCAACAACAGGGTCAACAGGGCCAACAACAAGAACAGCACATCAAGGCTGTCCTTAAGAGATTGGACCACAAACCGTACCAATACAAGATCTTAGTCAACAGCAACAACAACGTTCCCAACGCAGTCGTTCGCGTCTTCGTGGGTCCGAAAAACGATTACCAAGGCAAACCGGTCAGCATCTCCAAGAACCAGCACCTTTTCGTCCAACTCGATCAATTCATGCAGAACCGTAAGTAATGATAGATCAAGCGGGGACTATTTACCTGTGAACAAGTTCTAATTGACTTATCCTTTGTTTAGTCCAATCTGGTCAGAACACCATCGTCAGGAATTCTCAGCAGGCTGCTGGACAGAGCGCTGACTGGCCGTCCACGGAACAAATCAATCAAGGAGTGAATGCTGCCGCCCGATCCGAGGGACCATTCTTTGTCACCCAGGTTCGTAGATAAATCGAATTTCTTAAACAGAAGAACATCGAGAACATCGAGTAATTATAATTGATCGTATTTTTATAGCCACACCAGATCCACAGCTTCCCGGCTAGGTTATCCCTTCCCAAGGGTACCCAGCAAGGTTTCCCACTTCAGTTCCTCGTTGTGATCACCGGCCCCGGTCCACTCAACGCCCCGTACGGTCCAGTGATCCCTGAACAGAGCTTGACTTACCAAGGCCAGCAATTCCAGATCGTCAATCCTGAACAATATCAACAGCTGAAACAACAGAATCAAGTCAACCAAGTGTCTGGTGGAATCCAGCAGAACGTGGAGGTCAACACGGACCAACTGAGCATTGCCCAGCAACAAAGTCAAGGTACGCTGTTAACAACGAAGAAACGTAAATATTTGTCTCAGAGCATTATTGAGCATTATTTCTTTTTACAGCCGTCAGAAACCACTATGCCAACGTTTATACCAGATACCACGGACAGTACCCTAACACGCAGATCCAGAACCCTGTTGGACAAGGCCAGGACATGACGTACACCATCCAAGGCGTCGTTAACATGGGAGCCAGCGGACCTCAAGGATTAGGATTACAAGGACAACAAAATATCGCTGGACAATCCCAAATCTCTCAGCAACAGGCTCAACAGATTCAACAACAGATCCAAGCCGCGGCATCGGCAGCAGCTGGTCAACAGGGACAATGGGTCCAGAACCAAGCTGGTCAAATGATCTGGTCGCAACAAGGACAACAGGGACAGCAAGGCCAACAGGGACAGCAAGGCCAACAGGGACAACAGAACTGGCAGCAAATCGGTCAATCCGGACCTAACGCTGGAAGCCAAGCATTGCAGCAAGGTCTCTACGGTCTGCAGGGAGTGTTCCAGGGAATCGCTCAAGGCGCCCAACAGGGTCAACAAAGTCAACAAGGTGGTTTCGGTGGACAACAAGGAATCCAAAGCGTGTCCTCTGTTATGCAAGGCGCACAAGGAGCTTGGGGCGTCGGACAAGGTGTCCAAAGCGTACACGTGCCGTACGGCATCCAGAAAACTCAAAGTGCTAACGGCGGAGTCCAATGGCAAGGTCCCCAGGTTCAAGGAGCTATATCCGGAACAGGAATCGTCGCTAGCGGACAACAGCATGCCGGTGGCTTCCAAGGTGCCTACGCTCAACCGCAGACTGTCCAGGACCCGGCGGTCAGCGAGTACTATCAGAACAAGCCAATCAGCCAGACCATCGGCGGTGCCATCTCCCTCGACGACAAGCCTCTCGGCTTCCCTCTGGAGAGACCGCTGACGCCTGGTGCACTCAGCGTTCCCAACATCTTCGTGAAGGAGGTTCTCGTCTTCCACGAAGGCCATCCCACCAACGACATCACCCAGCAATAAATATGTTCCTACGATGAACCGCGCGGCATTTAGCCATACGCGAAACGTTTATACGACGGACTTAGCGCGCTTACAATGTTGCTAATGTTAATAATTAAAAAAATAAGGTTTATTGATGTATCAAATTGTAATGAATAAATTGCTGTAAAAAGCAACTGTTTATTATAAAAACCTTGTCTTCTTCTATTTAATCGCTTGAAATTGATCAGGATCCCAAAGAATCGAGTATCGCCGCAATTTGAAATCATCGTTTTATTAACAAATTCTCAAGGCGCTAGAGAAAATAATAAAACAATAGTTTAATTGTCTTCGCTTTGTTACGTGTATCAAGCATCGATCATTCGCCAGTCATCATCTCCATGAATTCTGCAAATATAGAAGTATAAAATACGTTTACGAGATCGAAAATGTAGTACGAGCACGATGCACGCACCATCGAAGTCAACTGTGCCCGATCCGTCAGTATCAATTTCGGCAATGATACCGTCCAAATCGGCGTTAGTGAGCTTGTCATCGAGAGCAGCGAGGATCTCCTTCAAAGTGGCGGTCGTGATGTATCCGTTCCCTTCGCGATCGTACAGACGGAAGGCCTCCTTCAATTCCTCTTGCATCGCTTCGGCGTCCTCTTCCTCTAAGAATCGTCCAGCGATCTTGCAGAAGACGTCGAAGTTCACTTTGCCGACGTTCTCCGGATCATTTTCCTTGATCAGAGCGTTCAGCTCGGCATCGTCGAACAATTGTCCCATCGTGTTCAATATCGTCGAGATCTTCAACGTGTCGATGAAGCCACTCTTCGTCGTGTCGAACATTTGAAATGCTTTTCGCATGACGGCCATCTTCTGCTCGTCTTCCTCCTGCAATCCCAATTACATCACTCGTTTCACAAAATTAAATAGGGATTACGTGAAAAAATGATGTGGACGAAGTTGAAATTCGTTAAAAACTCCTTTGGCACTCGTATCATTTTTCACGATTGTCTTCACTAATGATTTCGATCAGATTCCTTGGGTTCTCCTCTCTTACCATGGTGACGGATATCTAGCACGGCGGACGACGGATACCTGAAGTGCCGCGGCTTTTCCGGCCTGGTATAAAGACATCCAACGCGTCTGGTAAACCAGCTAGAAAACCGGTGGGCGCAAAAATAGAGCGACGCGACGAAAAATGAAATATGTTATAAGTGGGTCCACCCCGTGATGCCGAGAAGGCCGACGTTAAATCATGCAAGAGACACATTACACAGTCGAGGATCACCTGTGTACCACCAGCGATTCTTAAATTATTAATCATCACCGATCCTTGTTTCAGGCGATGTCAATGGATTATTTTAATCCGCTGCAATAATGATATCTTATGGGATATTTAAAGACTCGCAGCATCTGGATTGCATTTGAACGGAAACGTACCGCAAGACGTAGCAATACCGCACGTTCATTCATGAGATCGATTCATATTAGCCAACGCGTTTACATTCTTTCATTCTTCACAATGAACCGATTTAATTATAACACAAAGCCTAATTCAATGTTACGAAGAAAACGCTATCACAAAATTATTCATCAACGTCGCACGCTTAGTTCTATCCATCGTCGCGCAAATGGTTATAATCGTCAGAAAGATTATGGATTCACCGCGTTGCAATTTTCAGACACCGTTCCTAGATTCGCGACTGCCCACGCATTGCAAACCATTACAACACCACCTTCCATCTGGCCTATGATATAGCAAAAATATAACAAGTCCTTCGAGACGATTCATCAGTGATTTTTCAAGGTATGTTACACCATCGCTGAAGTATTTTTTCCGTCATTAGATTGGGATCATCGTTAATTTCATTAAATTCCAAGAGTGCAATTAATTTTGGTAAAAATCAGACGGTGTTGTAAATAATGGGCAAATATTATTTAACTCGACCACTGTCGAAACGGTATTTGAAGTGACTATTTTTCTTTACTTGACTTCTAAAATTGATGTTCTTGTCGCAGCTTTTTATTGTTGTAATAAATAATTTTTAAATTTAATCATCAAGCTTCGCGTGGCTTGCAATCATCGGGCGTGATGTCACTAATTAGTCGAAGGAGAAACAGGAAATGTAATTGAGGACTAAATTAACAGAAGCGCTAACAGAGCGCGACAAGACAGCTTCGTAATTTCCGAGGATAAATGACTCGTTTACGTAATAATGACACACCCACCCAAATTACAATACTCGAATGATGAAAATACCGGTTCATTCTTGTCACAGAGTTTGCTATCCTCGAAGGATGAAGCATCTATAAATAATGTCCGACGATCAATCATAGCCGCTTTTGTACGTATACAAAATTATCGTCCCGGGTGTCGGTGGGACGTGAAACGTTTGTGATCGTCCCATCTTCATTCAGTTGATCGGCCAACAAATACGTTATGCGTAAATTTGTCTCGTTAGAAATATCTTTGGTGCCAGCACATCATCATCTAGAGTCTGCATACGATGTCGCGTTGCTCTCATCAATGCATGCCGGGGAGTGACAACGGGCGTTTCGGGTGTGCAAAGGCAATTACGTTCCGTTGCCAAGTTTTCTGAAAATCAACGATCCCCTTGGCAAGGGGCCGCGCTCAGAAAACCGCCGACTCGTTACACAGGCATGCGGATACCGCCTCCGGCCTCTCGAAATTTCCTCGCAGGAAAGTCAATTACCCTAATAATAACACCCATTCCATTTTTACTCCCGCCCACGCTGGTTATTTCTAACATTGTTATGTAAAACTTTTGTCCGACCATCAATCATTATACAAAATTGACGCCTGTTAAAGAATGGTACCGAACTGTTCGGGCAATTGATTTTTGGGATCGTTTATAATGGTTACTGCGTGGCAAAGTCGAATAATAGCTGAGTTTATGTAACAAAGTTCTCTGGTATGTGGCATCGTTCTGTTCTGATTCTCGACGTGGGTGGCAAAGCGTTAATAGGGTATTTTCATCGGCGAAACATAAATTTAGGTGGGAACGCAATATGTTTAATCGGAGCTTATTAGCATATATTCTTAAAAATGTATAATTACTCATAATTTGAACTTTATCAAGTATAGCTATCGCCCAATAAATCTCTTTTATCTTATAGAATACAACGACTAAAGCAATATACCTAAGATCTAAGAAGATACCCGAACATTATCGTATTTACTTCGAAAGAAGAGAAGGCACTGAAGAGATGAAGTTTAAAACGCGGGAACGATCGACGATAAGGAAGTTCTCTTGGCAAAACAAAAGCAATGACGCTCTCTGTTGGTAAAGGGAAAACTAAAGATTGCAAGTCGGAAGCTATCGCATGTAACGAAAAGGAGGTGGTGGGGAAAAACATGAAACCTAGGCAAGAGGCCGTGATAGATCTTGCTGCAGAACGCTTGTGTCAAAAGTGGGGATACTGGTCGCTGTCGCTGCCGTGCACATACATACATATATACGTTATACATACCTTGTATATATGTAATGTCAGCAAGGTAGTGTGCTGGCGGATCGTGTATGCAGAAGCGCTTAAATATTAATCACATTACGGATGTTTTTGCCGGAGTGACGCGCGGATAATAGACGGTACGATCATCGGGATGCGACGGATGTACAGGCACCGCGAGAATGAAAGCCCGTTCTAAATACAGATCGCAGGACTCACAAATAAGCAGCGCCGATGGACGCGGCCATGTTTTCTGGTAGCAGAAATCTTACCCATTAATAATTCGTTTTAATCGTCGACCACGAAGTGGAGTGTGCAGAATGCCGAAATGCGGTGTGAAGGCAAGGTTTCTACCAGCCACGATTGCCTGGACGGTCCTACTCAGCACCACGACACTCTTCTTCTATTTTCCGTAAGTTCCGTACACATGTCTGTTGTCCTCCTCTTGTCTGTGGTTCCAGTGTCTCCGCACTCCTCTTCTCGTTCCTGAGGCTGTGCCAATTTGTCGGTGTCAGCCCCGCGTTCACTTGTCCGTTCAATCGGATTTTCCAGGTGCCGCTATTATGTGATTCAATGGGGGATATGGGTACCCGCTCTTCAAGGAATCGTCACATTTTTTGTTTTGACGAACTTTACGCTAGCAACGTTCATGGACCCAGGTGTAATACCAAAAGGTATGTGCAACATCGCGGTGTTACAAATTCGTGGATGGCATTCGTGAACGAGCTTGATCTGTTTCATCAGCGACTGCTGCGGAAGATAGGGAGGATGATTTCCATGCTCCGTTATACAAAAGCGTGGAGATCAATGGTATCACAGTTCGCATGAAATGGTGTGTCACGTGCAAATTCTACAGACCCCCACGTTGTTCTCATTGCAGCGTGTGCAATCATTGTATCGATGTACGTATCCAACATGGTTTTGCCCATCCTATCAAAAGTATTAGAAGTCTAACTCTTTTTTTTTTTGTACTTTTAGACATTTGATCATCACTGCCCGTGGGTGAACAATTGCATTGGCAGAAGAAATTATAGATACTTCTTTTTCTTTCTCCTGTCGCTCAGTTTTCATATGCTCAGTATATTCGGACTTTGCCTATATTTTGTATTGGAGCGTAAGCAACAGTTGGGTGAAGTGGACACTATTGTCGCGTATCCTTTTTTTATCATTAAATAATTATGATCTAATAGTAGCCTTCGTATCATGGTACTAAATCGATCGTAATTACATCGATCTGTAAAACGATACTCTTGGCCTCGCAGGATTGTGAGAATTCTTTCAGGACATGCGTGTTGTATAATCCTTAAATTTGAAATAGACTTGTTCTCATGGGAGTGGTTATACTTCTGTTCATTCCAATCTTTGGACTGACCGGCTTCCATGTCGTACTCGTTTCCCGTGGGCGTACCACGAACGAACAGGTAACGGGTAAATTTAACGGAGGCTACAATCCTTTTTCTCATGGTTGCTTACACAATTGCTGTTATGCGCAATTTGGACCACAATACCCCAGGTAACATTCTAGTTCATTCGCGAACACACACATTAAAAAAAAAAATGGTATCGATAAATGATAACGAGTTCGTTCCTGTGTTCCAGTTTAATTAAGCCTGAAAAGTATTCAGGAAAGCGACGCGGCGTTTCCACATCCGAGATATCGACTATAGGCAGTGAGAACCAGGTAAAAACCTACATGGATAGCAGCAATGGTGTTAGAAATGCCAGTTCAAATGCTTACAATAAGGTAAGAGCTAGTGCAACTTCGCTTGACACTTCTTCTCTACCATGTACAAAAGAAGATTTGAAACTGTAAATAGCACTTCCTATTTAGCATGTAACTTTATTGCTTCCTGGACGTTTAACACACGCACACGAGAACATACACACCACTTTGTACGTAGACTATGTATAATTCGCTCCCGCTTTAGATACCCTCAGGTTCGCACCACATTCTGTTCAGCGCTTGAAGCTTTTTTACGAAGCATCACGTAGTGCGTTTCTGGACACGTTTAAAACGAAGTTGCACGATTCTCGTAGTCGTTACAATTTTCGTTCGTTAATTCCAAGTTTCCTTCCTTAGAGTACGATCTCGAGCAACGATTCTTCCTCTCTGTAATATCACCTTGTTCGCAACGTTGGAAAGCTGCGGTTACTCTTTCCCTAATCACCATTATCCCGTTCCTTACCCGTCCTGGTCGAACGTAAATATTTCGAAAGAAATGTGCGTTACTTGTGTACATACAATAAAGCGTGCAATATACAATGATCCAGTAACAAATATCATCGATCGATCTTTCCGCTGTGACGAAAATAGCATCAATGATCGTTTGTTGGTTGCAGTTGTCACCTGGACGAGATGGGTCTGACACAGACATGGAACCGACTGCGTCTCAATCCGCGGATTGTGAGCCGACGCCTCCAGTACAGAGACACGGTTCCAAAAGCAATTTCTTCCTGCCACCTGTGGGGAACAGCGAGTCCCCCAGGCACCCACCGCCGTCGCAACATCACAATCCGATGCACCACACCAGAGGCAGTCCACACCCAAGGCCAAGGTAATAATAAAAAACGACGGGAAGGGTAAACGATATTCTCTGTTCGCTAATTGTTTTTCTAATATACACATAAGGTACGTTGTCAATACCTATAGGGGAATGAACGGCTCCCGGAGTCACACGCCCGATCCGTTATCGCCGGAAGCGAGCGGATCACCGGCTGCCGCTTCCCAAAGAGGTAAAAGTCAAGGGGATGCTAGTCCAACGACGCAACGGATCAAAGCTATCGGAGTACCGACTCCACTTGCCATTTCCAGCCCTATTCGCAGGTACGTCGACACTAGTTATCCCGCTTAAGAAACGAAAATAGAACAACTACTGAAACTGATATTTTATCGACAGAAGAATCAAATATTCTGCGAATATATACATATGTACATTGTTACACGTATAGCGTGTGAAGATAACTAAATATTTGTTCTATTTGTTCTATTCCGTGGATACGCATAAAGTAATTTTGGAATAATTCTACTTTTAGATGTATATTTTTCTTTTTTTTTTTTGTACGCCGCGACGTTTTCACATTGCACACAGATTATATATATATATTATATATATATGTGTGTGTGTGTATATACATATATATTTCAATGTAGAGAGCAAGAAGAAAGCGCCGCATTTAGTGATAGTTTACATATTTGCATTTCTTAAGCACGCTAACCGATACAAATTGACAAGTGTACTTTTCGATACGTCCTGTTTGCAACCTCTCGACATGATGTGAAAAGCCTGTTTTACTTCAGACACCCTGGATCTCTTCCCCCTCACTACGAACACCGTCACTCTTGCTCTTGTACTTTCTCTTCCTTTATATTATATATAATTCTCGTCACTATGTACATTCTCACCTTCTGAATGACGAAGGAACGTGACAGAAAGAAGCGAAACATTGCGCAATACGTAGATCAGAAAATTATATATCATAGAGAATTATAGTTTCTCTGCATGCACATATTACAAGATATATGGTATATAGATAAGTTTGTGTCCCACTGCAGGGGGTGGTAACTGCAAGGAGCTGCTTTCTACCATCATATGTTGCAACCTACTGCAGGTAAACACGAACTTCATCCTACGAGGACATATCGTAGTTTCAAGTTATGCTTTGTTGCATATATATATATATTATATTCTCCATGCATAATATTTATATATATATATATATTTAAAAGGAAAGACGCCTTCGACCTAAATATATATATACATATGTATCTATGTATGTACACACGTATTCAGTCGACTATACATGCAAGTAAATGTGTCTCCACATTGTGTATATCCTAGGTTCGCTATACTCGTTTTTTCCTTTGTTCTTGTTCATTGAATAGACCGCTAATTTTTCTAAACAGGAATGATGCGCTGTTCTTTCTCTCTTTCTCTCTCCTGTATGTTCTCGCCAGAGCCGTATTTTTCGTGTATGGCTAAAACGCTCAGCACTCTTGCATACATTCATAATTCCTCGGCAAATCGCGGCACCGTGCATCCGTCAAAGTGTCGTGGTCTTTGTTTTCCAGATCGAACCCAGGTACGCCGACGCAGGTTCGTCGGCCAGATTTTATAGGAGTGAACGACACGCCGACGTATTACGATGTGGAGCAGGGGAACAACACCGGTGGTACCGGTAGCGGCGTGGTGTCTGGGTACAGTCCCCAGAGGCGTTTCCTGTCCGAGAGCGAGCTCGTCCGCCAAGGTGCCGACCACTCGTACTCGAGAACGAACAACACTGTCGACAACATCCGCGAGTTGGCCAGTTCGCCTCAGCGCGGTGTCTACATGTGGAAGGACAACACGCCCGGCAGCTATCCTGCGCCGAACGCGAACACGGTGATGCATCAGTCGCCGTCGCAGAGACCACCACCATCTTCGTCGTACGATTACTATCGTTCGAACCCGACGAGCCCCACTCAACAGCTGTACGCGAACGCTCCTAGAACAGCGTACCACCCCGCAATGAGAGGCGGTGTGCCGGTCTTCCCGCCGCATCAGTCGCCGCAGGTGAAACGGAAGGCAACGATGGCGACGCCGACCACCCCAACGTCGGGTGACACTCGACGTAGACCGATGTCGTTCGTCCGTGCCCTGGAGATGACCGACTCGATGGAGATGGTATCAGCGCCTAATGACAACAGATCCCAACGGCCAACGACGCCCACACCGGACCGTGCCAGTGTCTACGATATGAACTATGAGATATCCGTATAGCCCAGCTTTATCGTCTCCGCACCATCTTGCGGCTGGACGGAGATTGTACAAGAATTACCCAAGTTGCGAGTCTCCCGTTCCGAGGAGGAGAGAACGTACGCCGCTTACGAGATATCCGTCTGAGTACCGACTTCGTATCGTTCGCATCGAAGCAGCTAAACACGTTCGACATCGTATAGTTCTTCCGGCTTGAATTCACGATTACAATCGTATATCGCACCCACCGTACTTTTACCCCGGGTTCCCGGAGGAAAACTGAGGTGAATATCGTTCATACATGTTATCAGTGATATGATGTCTCATGAACGATGGACGAAAATCTACAGGCAAAAGAAACAACGTCGGTATTCGATCATTTTACTGTGAACTATCATAAATAAAAAAATGTGAAGTCACTTGTTTCGCACTGAACGTGAGATCAAAGAGTTCAACATATAAGTCTACCAGCTACACAAGACTGTCGTGTCACGTTATTAGTAATATTATTTTTGGGTTCACTCGTTTTTTTATTCAGAGAGTATTTCGTCGTATGTGTACGAGAGATATCGGAACGTGTTCATTTTATTTGGGGGGGGGGGGGGGGGGGGGGTTGATGGAAAGAAGCATTCGGACCGATTGACGTTCGACGTGTAATCGAGTCACGAAAGCGTCAACGAAAGTAATTCCGAAAAACGCCTAGCGAGACACGTCGCGCTAGGCAGGGGAACACCAGCTGCTAGAGATCGATATTTGTCTCGCTTGGCAGCGGACAACAATTCTATATTTTTTAGTACGCAGTATAAGGTCAGTTTAGATTTTTATACCGTGACGTCGTAACGCAATTTCTAAGAGAAAGAAACGCAACGTCGTTTGATTCCCATTCGTTTAGTTTTCCTCTTCTTTATACATTTAAAAAAAAAGAAAACACGAATAGACGAATAAGAAAGAATACAGAGATTATTCTTGCGTGCATTACACACAGGCTCAATTCTGATCCACGACATCAGTCTTCTTTTTTTGTTCCCCTTTAACCGCGCGAACGAAGGAAGAGCGATACGTGTATTTAACGATGGATGAAAATTGAGCTTACCCGGGTACGCTCTCCTATTTTCGTTGATGCGAAAAGAATTCGTGTCCAGTTAACAAGAAACAAAAATGAAGAAAGAAAACGTTACTTAATCGATTTAAGTCATTATCAGGATAGAATAACGAATTCTGTGTAAAATAATCGTGAAATGTGTAGCAAATTTTTAATATACATATTTAACAATATTTATACGTAAATAATAAACAAAAAAATATAAGACTTTATAATGATTTCATTTGTTTGTTATGAATGATGATTTTATCGATGTGACCACTAATACGACTAATTTCTATGAGATAAAAGAACGATAAGAAGATTTATAGAGTTAAAAGGAAGAGAACAATGTGTGAATGCGAATGGGTAGTGCATGGACGAATGGATGTATACCAGGAAAATCTTTTAGAGTATTAGAGAAGCGTACGACAGACCAATGTGTTTTTAATGACGGATCATTCACTCTTGACACAGATGGGGGAAAGAACAAACTGCACGATGAACGTTGTTAACGAAACAGAAGGGGGAATACGATTTTGTAATATATACGTTACATCACTTCATTGGTATACCTGCTGCTACTGTTAAGTTTGTAATATACCCCGCTTAAGAAGAAGAGCTTGCATGCCGGTTTCTGTATTCCGTATTTGTATGCGAGACCAATATTAGCAATAATGCAGGCTTAATGAATAACTGCGAACCGTGTATGCGTAAGGTAACCGTCGAGTATTGCGCGCCCAGTTGCCTTACGACCAATTGATAATCGAATTATTATTGTTAAAATAGCACATATCGTTCAGTATAAAGGGCTTATCGAACATCGAATATTTCCGAGCTAAAGGGACATTCCCGCGATTTAATATTCAATATACTTATTTGGTAAAGCAAGAGAACACAAACGACACACTGCGATTATTAGAAACATTTCTTCCAACGTTGGCGCTACCAATAAAACGCGTTACTCGTTTCCCTGTTTTGTATTTATTTTTTTTTTCGTTCATCTCGGGTTTACACGTACTTTTACTCTTTACAATCTGAGCTGTGCCAAACAGGAGGAAACATACATACAACTATTTCCATATTCTACACTCCGATCATGTAGCTTTTACATAAAAGAGCACTTTTAAACGACATAAAAAGAACCGAGACAGAGAGTGAAACACAATTAAAGGACTGGTAAGACCTCAAGATGAATCAGATTTAGAGAACTATGTGTAATATGTGGCGAATGTTTAGTGTTTATAATTCGGTGTACTTGTACATAAAAATATAGCTCGTTATTATCATTTAAAATGTACATAACATACATTTCGGTACTTAGTATCGTTGCAGCAATCTACTAAGAATAAATCTTATCAAATACAAGGTAATTGTACTGGAACAGCTTTGATTTAATTATTTAGCGGATTTAAGCACTCGAATCTTAATCGAACTCGACACAGTGCAATTATGTAAAAAAGAATAACAATTCATTATCGCGACAGTAGCCTTTCGGCGCTGATTGTCAGCTTCAATTTAGGCGCTTCCGAGAACTAGTCTGCGCAGTAAATGATACAGCCAGGTACAGCTACCCCGACTTATATATTAAAATGCACAAGAATCTATTCTAAATGTTAAATCTACGATTAAATGTCCTAAATGTTGAATTAATTATCTTAAACTTTGAACTAAACTGCAGATTTCAAATTATTTAAAATGTCACTAGAGTGAAGCCACATGATAGAGTGACTAGATGAAATATTTTAAAGATCAACGATTTTATCATTTTCTAAACGGTCTACCCCTTAGAACAAAGGTCTACCCATATTTCTACGATTTTTAACTTTAATTTGAGTTGTGTCTCATTTAAATCAATGCAACTTTAAGAATTTTAATTTGTGTCGCTCAGTACGCGAAACGATCAAGTGAATATATTTATTTCGAAAAATAGATTGAGTACGAGACTTTTATAATTAGAACTTCTTTACTAACGTTTTGGCTTTCTTATATTAGCAATCGTTTCGTGCGAAAATGTACGGATGAATTTTCATAAATTTCAATACGGCATGGCCGCAGCCTGGCGGGAATAACGATACGTGCGAGTGTGCGAGCGCCATGTCGTTTTATGGGTAATTTTGTTTCGTACACTTCGTACACTTCGTATGTTATTCCATTATGATGCGATAATGGAATAAATGGAAGTAACGTTCTCGTTCGTCAGAGTGACAAATCGTTCATACGGGATATCGTTTAATACGCGACTAGCATTGTGAACGCGTTCCTGTGAAAAGGCGACGATTCTTTTAGCGGCACTCTCCGCCATTATTGGCGTGTGCACGGCGTACAACAAAGTTTTCTTTCGTTTGTAGGGCCGAAACTACACTTGTATCCTGGAGAGTTTAATCGTATTATGATGTAAGTATCGTGTGTTATGTTCCTCGTCGATACGCTCGCGTTTCTTTGATTCCGTGGTAACCTCGTTAACATCGGGTTTCTTACTATAAACGCAGGGCACGCAGTCGTAAAGATAGTACAGGCAAAAGTGACTCAGAAGTCACCGATAAAGAAAATAAGAGGGAACGCGGCAGAGACAAAGAGAGGAAGAAGCGAGCTGCTTCTACATCGAGCAGCGGCAGCAGGTAAGCCATCGAACAATTTTTCAGTCAAAGTCGGGTTTGATAACTTGGCCTCTTGAACAACGTGACATTTGTGTTTCATAGTTCTTCTGATAGCAGCTCAGGCTCCTCATCCAGTAGCAGTGGAAGCAGTTCCAGATCCAGTTCTACTTCTAGCAGTACCTCTAGTAGTTCAGCGAGTTCTTCAGGAAGCTCTAGAGATAGGGGAAGGAAGAGAAGCAGGAGCAAAAGCATAGATGCTTCGCGAAGACATGATACTAAGGAAAAGGAAAGAGAGAAGGAAAGAGAAAGGGAAAGAGATAGGGACAGGGACAGAGATAGAGACAGGGAAAAGGATAAAAAGAAGAGCAGTAATTCTGTGATCGACAAACCTAAACCCAAAGGACGCTCTAGGTAAGAACGTAAACCAGACATGAATGCAAACATCTTAGTGTTTATTCGTTCTTTTATCGTAACTTTTATTTCGTTTCGAATGGCCAGATCACCCTCGCCACGTAGAAAACGGAGGGAGAGATCACCGATTCCTAGACCGACGAAGATACACATTGGACATCTTACCCGTAACGTCACTAAAGAACACATTATGGAAATCTTTTCGACGTACGGTCAGATAAAAATGGTCGACTTCGCCATGGACAAGCTTCACCCGAATCAAGGCCGAGGCTTCGCTTATGTGGAATTTGAAACAGCCGACGAGGCTGAGAACGCGATGAAACATATGGATGGTGGTAAATAAAGGATTTGTAAAGTTTGTTTTGTTCCTATGGATGGTTTTCGTCAGCAAACGTTCCGTTCCGCAGGACAAATAGATGGTCAAGAGATCACAGCTGCTCCAGTATTACTACCGAAACCACGGCCAATACCAATGCGTAGGATGTCGCCTTTAATGGGAAGAAGAGCACCGCCACGGTGGGGCGGTGGCGGTAGGAACACACCACCGCGTTATCGCAGGCGTTCGCCGCCGATGAACCGTCGTCGAAGCCCGCGTCCACCGAGACGTAGGCCTAGGACTCGCTCGCGAAGTCCACCGAACAATCCACGGCATCGGCATCGTCGTTATACGAGATCAAGTTCGAGCAGCTCACGATAGCAATCTTTTTTGTACATATTAAATACGAACTGTGAATTCTGACCAAACACAGTATCTAATCCTGGTTGGTCGTCTTAATATATTAAGCAACACAATTTTTACCGATTCAAATATATTGACAGGGAAGTGTATGCACTCAACTAAAACAAAAACAAAAGAGTAGACGGTTTCGTGACCGCGTCTTCTTCATGAGTTAATCAGAATAAATATTGTCGATCATGATTCAATCGCCGTTCGTGCGAAGTTATCTTTTTGAAATACATCAATTTCACACGTGACACATCCATCTGTTAATTGATTGGTACCTGAATGGAAGGACACAATTGAAGACTGGTTGAAAAGAGAATGCATTCTCGCGCATTGTCACATGGTCTATAAAGCGTATGTACATGAAGACTTCAGAAGAAATGGTACTTGTAAGTACGCGTAAATGTAAGCATAATCTCGTAAAGTAAATGTGTGTTGTGAAATTGTGAAGGCATTATTTTCTTGTCAATTTTTTCTGATGTCTTTATGGATCGAGATGTTTCGGGCTTGGTGAAAGTACTAGAAACAGACAGGTTTGATAGAAACTATGATTATTAGACCCTTTTACAAAGAATCAATTTTAGAAAAAACCTATTCACACAAAATCCTTTTTTATACTTCGCGATATCTACAAGAACAGAATCATTGCATCACATTGCAACTTTGCATCGATGAAAAATATCTACAATTTCCAAATTGCGTATGGTCGTTAAGTATTTAATAATATACAATTTTTATGATGACTTTACAGTATAAACGAAACGGTTTAAAAAATCTGATTACTTAACAAAAGTATCATCGTTTTCTTTAAAGACACCAGGATTTCCGAATCAAGCCTGGTCCATGGCACGAATATTTCATTTCATTTCATTTCTTTACTTCTTTTTCAAGAGACACCTCGAATTAGCTCTCTCATGACATAACGATGTATATGGCGATTAATTGAGAGGACGATGAAACAAGGATGGAGAAGAAGTACATAGTTTCTTTCGATTCTTGTTGATGGGTACAAAGTCAGAAGTTGCAATTCCTCTACGTAAAGTTTAAATGTGGTTTTGATTAAAGCACTTTGGCACGGACAAACTGCTTTTGTATTCGTTTACTCGCAAATCCCATATTTTCCTGAGGAATATAATTCTTTTTCCTTTCGTTCACGCTGCGTAACGCAGCATTAGACAAATCGCGTTTGCGTTTATAATTTATCCGAAGAGAGTTTGATTTACATTTTTCGTTATATACTGTCTCTTCTTTCCTTATAAATTACGATGAAAAACAATTGCAATGCTTCTGAATGATCTTACTTTTTATATCACAGGAAAGCACCAGAGTGCAATTGTAAGCTCCAGGCAAATTAAAAAAAAAAACAAAGACAGAAATTAGGGAAAAGCATGCTTGTGCTGCCAAAAGCCAAAGTTACCTCTGTTCTTTTGCCCTCTTGGTTTTTCGTTCCTATCATTCTTATTAACATGGTAGAAATTAATATTCCTATGAAGAAAAGAAAATTCATCAGATTTTTCGTTAATATTATATTGATTAAATTAGGGCAACTTGTTTTACGATCGTATCCGTATGTCAGTAATAGAGATTCGTTTATACGTCGCAATAAATAAATAATTAAATAACTTTTTGAGTAATGGTAGAGATCCGTTTAAGCTTCTCTCTTTTAACGTGGATTTCTTTCTTTACGTAGCATCGTCTCGCATTCTACAATATCTATAATATTACACACGATACTTTTTTTTAACTGTACGTATAATTATCGTAATGATGAAAGTTTATGTCGTTATAAACAGTCAGATCCTCGGAACTGCAGAGAATCACATAACGTCACTGTCATTTCAATTACTTTGTGACCACGTTTATTTTAATCAATGCCTCGACTCATCTCGCATCGACGATTCGTCTGTTTCAATTATCGATCGGACGCACAGCGGTTTCAAGGCATTTTCGTTAATGATCATCGCAGAGGCTCCCTTCATCCTCCACGATTTTCTTTTCTTCACACTTTCTTCGATAACTATAAATATTATATAATCTATGTACAATATTTTCTTTTTTTAAATAACGCCACTCTTCTCCGTTAGCAAAATACCAGCACCACGGGGGGCTCGGAGACGCGCTCAAAATGTTGACCCTTTAGTGCGTTCGCTCGCAGAAGCCGAGGACGCGGGGAGGATGTATCATCGAGATTGAGAGGTATCCTCCTTCTTGTGTATGTCCGCGTGCATCAAAGCCGGTTCTAATTGGCGTGTCGGCATCCCCGGCCCAGGACCTGCTCTGTGGTGCATATGTAAATTGCTCAACGGCCCAGGGCTCGGGTCCTTGGCTCTTAACGAATTTACAGGCGGTGGTGGGTAACCAGCGTACAATTTAGCTCTTTCCTCCTCCTCTGCGCGGAACGCAGCGGCAGCCATTAACGGATTATATCGTAGCTGTTGCAAAGGATTGTAACCGTAGTCCCTGAAGGGATCGCCCGGCCAAGGAGCTCCCGGTTGACCGCCTGGTCCGGAAGGCGGTGGGAAATGTTGCATCGGATGTCCACCTAGACCAGGTATCATACTACGCGGCATGGAATGAGGCGCGGGCATGCTGTGTGGATGCCTTGCGAGGTACGGATGAGGATGATGATACCTAGCATCTGACATTGGACTCGGACCAGGGCCTCCAGCGGATTGTCCAGGACCAGGACCAGGTGGCCTCGGAAGCATGACGACTTCATCGTCCTTGCTTCGCGGTTCCTCCTTAACTCGTACCTCGCTAGGATCAATCTGTGCTGACCCGTTTCTCAAAGGCGACCGATCTCGACTCACGATCACGTGCTGCCGAGCTTGATGTATCAATCGGTCGCGTTCCATCTCGCGTCTCTCCATATCCCGTCGTTCCTTGTCCCTCCTCTCTCTTTCCCGTTCGGCAGCTTCTTGTTGTTTCCTCTTCTCTTCTTTTTCGCGTTCTCGTCTCTCCCTCTCGCGCTGCTCTTCTCTCTCCCGCTCCTTCTCGCGCCTCAATCGCTCCCGTTCACGTTCACGTTCGCGTTCACGTTCTCGTTCCCTTTCGCGCTCGCGTTCTCGTTCCCGCTCGCGCTCGCGTTCCTCCATCTCCGCTCGTCTATCGATCGCGGGCGGCTCCGGTTTTAAGCTCCACGACACAGCTGTGGTTGGCGGAAATCCAGTGGAGGCTCTTTGCAACCTAGATAAATAAAAAAAATAACTATTAGTGACTTATAAATTTTCTTTTACGGAAGGAACACAACTGGAAACGCACCCCCTCCACGGATCGTGTACAGAGCTGATCCCACCAAGTGGCGGCATTTCTCTCGACGGGGGAAACGTGGAGAGGCCGGGAAAGTTGGAATTCGGCCCAGCAAACGTTGATGGATACCTTCCGAAAGGGGACATTCCTGTTCCTAAAATATATAATGTTAAAGCATTGTTTTAAATGATTCGCATGTTGTGTATATGCGACTAATAGAGTACCTAAATGCGACGCTGGTGCTGAGAGGAAACCAACAGGATGAGGCGGAGGTGGTCCAGCAGGATGTGCCTGTGGTATATTGGTGGGAAACGGTGGCGCCATTGGTGGTGCTCCCATTCCGAGACCACTTCCTGGACCAGCCGGATAAAGGTGACCCGGTGGTCTCAACAATTCTGTTTTGCTGTTCACAACGCTGCCCGCCTTCGCTTCCGCCTGTTGCTTTTGTTGATGACGATAGATTTCCCAAGCGATGCGAACGTGCATCGCGTTCCATTTTCCACTCTTCTGCAATCGAACACATGGTAAAAAAATACTGAAGATAATCAATAAAGAAGAGAGACAGGAATCGGAGATTACCTTTGGTGCAAATGGTGTTAAATGATTAGGAGGTACAAAAGGAGTCGAGGGTGGACCGATTCCAGGATGTAAGAGGCCTGCATTGAATCCAGAGTAACTAGAAAGATTTAGATTGCCACGAAAAAATGGTGACTCGACGCCTCCCAACTTTGGAATATCCTTGAACTGTAAACACAAATATAGTTCTTAGTATCGAAGTAGAAAAAATATAGGGAAGGAGCTGTAGAGAGAACGAGTTACGTACGATAGGGGGTGGAAATAATGTAGTTGCGGCTGTCGGTGGGAGCAGAGGCGTCGTGTGCTGATGCACGTGGGTGTGCTGATGCTGATGGTGGTGCATCTCCGTCCTGAGATATGGGGGCGGCCCCAAATTGCCGACACCGACTCCAACATTTCTGTCTTGAGATGCCAAGAATCTATTGTCAAGCTCTCGCCTTAACAGGTCCGCCTGATCTGCGACATGAGCCACCCCTTGTTTCCCGTTAGCTTCTCATGCGTTTTCAACTCTTTCTCTCTCTTGTTCAGATCCCAAATAAATTTTTAAGTATGAGTTATATACTTACTTGATTGAAAGAGCGACTCGGCGGAGAACGGGTTGGGATTGGTCGTTGGCGGTGGTAACGAAGGCAGTGATGTGTGTGGGCTAGAACTCGACACTGGAGGTGGTAACGGTGCCGCAAACATCGGCGGCGGGAACGAGTGCATGCCAAGCGGAGGTACCGGCGGTGGAGTCGGCCTCGGGACCGATGTCGCCGTTGCCGGAGACAATTGTGAATTGGTGCTGCTACTGTAAGTTCACTTTGGCACTGAATCACGCAAAACAACCGAGGAGAAGAGATTCTGGTAAGGAAATTTCGTACCCGATCCATCCTTGTTGCTTGGTGGAGTAAGCGGGTAGACTAGAACTGGCTGGAGAAGATGTGTTGTTTGGCACGCTTACAGGCGTTATGCTTCCTCGACTTAGGCTACTGATGTTACTGCTACAAAAGTAATATCATTATAAGAGCTTCGTCGACTTATAGAAATACTGGTACGTATGATTGAGATACTTTACCTGTAACTTTCTCTTTCCCGATTCGGGCTGTGACCACGCGGTGAATTATTGTTTCTTCCCGTTAAACTACAAGCTACCATGTCTCTGTGAACAATGGTACTTGCCGTGGTGACCGTATTAGTTATCGTGGATACGCATGTCGTAGTGGCAGCACTCAAAGGAGTATTGTGGTTCGGAGTACTAGTTCCTATAGGTTGTTGCTTACTTATGTTAGTGCTCGGGGAAGCTCTGCTGCCTCTCTAAAAATTGAAAACCGTCAAGATCAGATCGAGAATTGATCGTGAACATTTTTATATTAGATATACCGTGAACTTACCACTTCTGCCCGTGAAGAAGCGGAATGAGAGGGAGATGGGACAGCGGGAGGGAGATACGGACTGTGATTCAGAGCGGTGTACGGTGTATAAAGAGGCGGATAAGATGGTTGAGTCTGTGGATAAGCGGCCATTGGTATCGACGGCGGGTAGCTGGTGGTCGTAGCTCCGTTCGAAGGTGCTGCTGGTGTCACACCTAAGCTAGCTACCGCTGGACTAGTTGTATGACTCGACGAGACGTGGGGTACATTGGGTGGATGTAACGCGGGGATCGTGGTGTGAGGCTGCTGAGACAAGGAAGGCGGTGGCAGGGCGGGAGAAGTTGGCCGCTGTTGCGGAGCTATTGCACGTGGGTTCGCTGCCAATGGACTAGTCATCTGAAAATACGTTCGATTAACATTATCACTGAAAACGAAACACCATCCAAGTGAACCGTGCTCTGCAGGAAGTGTTCTATGGTTCCTTCCTGGAAAACATTGTCCAGGAGTAATGAAAACGTTTACTTACAGGTGGTTGGGATATATGAGGGGGTAGAGTGGGACTGGGAGGGCTTGGCGCTGTTGGAACTGGTGCAGACGCGGGTACGGGAGGTGGTATAGGTGCCGGAGCATCCGTTGCTGGGTTCGAGATTTGTCCACCCGTGTCTGGAGGCGACCCTCCTGCCCCGTTCGCCGGAGGCAAAACGTGCGGTGAAGACGATGGCAATTCGTCTACAAGGTAAGTGTTTATTAGTAAGTCTTCACGAAATCATTGTCGATTATTCGAGCGAAACGTACATTTACGTGCAAGGGGTGGTGGGGTAGAAGATTCAAAGAGTATCGATTCAGCGTCCGAGCCCTGAAATAAAAACTGGTTTTCAAAATACTGTTTGACAATGGTCGATGCGACAAGTTTATGGCACAACTATTTACCTTATCGTCTTCTCCTTCACTATCACACTGTAATTAAAAAAGAGAGGAAAACGAAGACGATTATTATAGCAGCTTTCGAAAATCACATAAACAGTGCATCCTCCGGTTTGATACTTACGATATAACCTTTACCCGAACTGCAATGACTGCTAGCCTGTAAGACGATTACCAAAATTAAGTCTAGTACATCTTCTCACCAGAATTTATTTTAATTTGCAGATCTACTTACATCGCTGAGGTGGTCCCTGGAACTGTCTGCGTCCTGGCAATCCCTAGGTATACCAGGGCCATGCAATTGTTCAGATGCTCTACCACTATCGTCACTTGTACCTGCATCTAGGCCCTGTAAGCCAAGTCAGTGCACAATTAAGTAGTTATCTCTTATTCAATTGTTACTCTAAGAGTAAGATAAGTTACCTGGTTAATGGTAGAAGGTGTCAGTATGGAATTGTGTGTATAATGGTTGTGTTTGAAATGATTTTTGATGTGATGCTCGTTGTGTCTATTATTCTGCCCGGTGTCCACCTTTGGTTTTTCTTCCACTATTGACAATAACGTAGACAGCTTCTTGATATTATTTTTACCAGCTAACTTTATTGCACTCTGAAACGAAAAGAAAGTTACAATTAAATTTCCGCTGCGAAAGTTATTGAAGTTTTGAAAATATCTTAACTAACGAAACGTGATATACGATTACAGTGCGTAAAAGAATAATGTACATGTAATTTTTCAAAAGGCGAGATTATATTCTAAGACAACTGAGGATATTTACATGAAACTCAGTATGCTGTTACGAGTGGGTATCGTGATAAACGTAACACAATCCTTTCAAGAGCTCGGTGTAATCGCTAACACCACGGTAGGGAATTAAAATAATCGAATTTCATTCCCTGGCGATCATTCATTGTATCTAATAAACACTCGATACGCGTACCTACACTATATATATAGGACTATATCGTGATATATCCTTCGGTCGCATTCAACACGTACGTAATGAAATTCGAGCGAGCAACGAGGGACTGCGTTCAACACGTATGGTAAACACGCTGCACACAATTTTCAGCCACCGTCTCGAGAAGAAAAGCCACGAAACGATATCTATCCTTTCATCACTGTGTCGCGACGCGAGAAATCGTGAGGCGGTCGGCGGATTATCGCGGGGAGCGCGAGATGCGAGAACTTTTTAACACGGTGTGGTGCGCGCACAGCAGAAAAAGAGCCCCGCAGCCTGAGAACCGCCTTTCTGTCGGTGCCTTTAAACAGCGATGTCAGTGCACATTTCTGAACGGGTGGCGCTCTGCCCCTTTCCCTCCCTTCCCTTTCTTCTCCTCGCGGTTTTTTTATCTCTCTCCCCCCCCCCCCCCCCGTGTGTACGCGGTGGTGCACCTAAATACCGTTATCGGTTTAATAAAACGCGGTCTCGTTCCCTCGAACGCGAGAGGAAACACGCCCGTCGTCGTCGAATGCGGTTGGCTCGTTCGTTCAAATTCGAACTCTAAGGACAGAGGAGAGACCGGGTTTGCAAAAGATGACAGCAGGATTCACAGGCAGCACACCGTGTCTCGTGTGCGCGATGCAGCGCACGAATGGAGGGGAGGAATGAAAGAGGCAGCGGCGGCGAGCAGGATCGAGGACGAAGAGGCACGAGGGGTGCTGGAGATCGTGTAGAAAGTGGGGGAGGTGAACGAGGAGGGGGAGACGAGAAGGAGAAGGCAGGAGAGGAAGAGCGAGGAAGAAAGAGGAGACATTGACCGAACGAGCAGCCGCGCGACAAGGCCTTCTTTGCCGTGCCATGCCAGGCCAGCTGGAAGGAGCGCAGCCCGACGAACGAACGAATGAACCCTGACTTCTCTCTCTTTCCCAGCACCGGCTGTTGCTCTCCTTCTCAGGTAAACACAGCGCTCCTCGCGCTCGTTCGCACTGTCTGTCCTTCTCTTTATCCCAGGTACGGTTGGCTACCAAAGAAACGGATGGGAAAAAGCCACTAGAGCTCGCCGTGTAAAAAACTACCACCTAGCAAAAGCCACGCTCCACCTGCGCACGTGTGCCAACTGCGAAGTGAAACCCCCTAGGACTTGTATCCGCGGTCAGATTACACGCTGCTCGCTGCTAAAGCGAATTAATTGGATAAACCTCCACCCCGTGAACAAGCGGAAAAGATAATATCGTATAATATCTACGATGATTTAGACGTTCTCTTTTTCCGTGTACGACCGATTAGAGACGAGCAGTTAAAGATTCTGCGAACTGATTAGACGACTGTACATTATATTGTACAAAATAAATGGAAAAATCGATGGATATCTGCGTCTGAATCTCTCTGAAGTTAGAACGCGTCGGGTACGCGCGTTAAGGAGTTAAAAGTTCTCGGGTCAGGGGAGATAAAGAAGCGTTCACCGATTCGGGAGACGACGTTTCGTCAATATGGGACAGCTAAAGTAAAATCATTCCCGGACATGCGGACGTTCCATCGGTCAGCTACTCCGCGGTTTGGCTAGCCGGCTACTAAACTCGTCCGTACAACGTTGCCACGTCTTTTCGTTTGGTGTTGACACGATCGGACTCTAATTCAGCTACCACATTCTCATATATGTCGTTTGGTTAATGCGCGAGGCTCGTATGTATCTACGTGCGATTCCAACGAGTTGATGACTTCAAATGAATTGTCTGCTACGCGTTAACGCGCACGTTATGTCATTCTGATTCATCCACACGCTATATTCCGTAACGAATAGAACGAGAGAATCTTAAACGATACTCCCCTTTTTCTTCCCCTAATAATAATCACATGTATTATTTGCGTATTCAGGAAAGAGTCAATATTACTTGGCTCGGATTCGGACCGAACAAAACTAGAATCGATTTTTCTGCGAACCGTGGAGCTCGAGTTTTAACGATTGCAAGATTGTAGGAGGCAAACAATTCGCCAATTGTGAGGTAACAGTTATTATTTGCCAAGCAAACAAGTAGTAAGCGAATTCCGATTAACGTACGCGCGGTAAACGCGATTAATTGAATCTAATCGATGAATTGCGGCGACGGGTAGCATTGAAACAAAGCATTCTTCGGTGTCGTTTGTAACAAGCGGATAATAACAGTGATTTGGACATCTGTTTGACGAAAATTTCGGCCGTTTGCCAGTACCAAATTGACGTGTCGAGCGTGAAACGATGCTGGCCACCGTCCAAAAATTATTCGTAAGCAAACACGTATCACGGTGGTATTGTTTATATTCTCAGCTACCGTCTTCGCGAGCTTCTTTCCGACCTGTTAATTAACACTTAAAAAGACTATTATCTCATGTTTCAACAAGTGTCCACGTTCTCGCGTTTACTGAATCGTGACAAATTATTGGTAGAACCAATGCTTATCTCGAACGACGTTTTTAAAACCAAGGGAAATGGAATGTAGCGACAAGAAAAAGAGCGAACGCAGTCGCGGTTTAATGTCAGTCTTCATTTGGTAGAAGCCAGTTAATTAAATGGATTTACATCTGCGAAAAGAAGACAACGACGCGCTGCGTGTCGAGGGGAAAAAAACGGTAGAACCGGGGGCAGTAAAAAGATTTACAGTGCTGTAAATACGGCGATAAAGCGACCATCGTCCGGCCGCGATGCAAGATTATTTTCAGACGTAAACATTTCTCCCGGCGATTTACATAGTTAGCCGTATTTTCCGATCGGCGAAACACGTTCCATAGGCAGGTTTTGAGGTTGCAGCGCAGTTCTGATGATTTGAGAATAAGTGCCGCTATTATCCTGGCGCAGGGAACGTTTATTGTAGATAATACCGATCCGCGATCGCTTCCGCGTAGAAGATAATTGTAGTCTAAACCCAACTCCTGGCAAACAAAAATCCACATCGATATCTTAATTCCATCCTTAATTCATCCTTAATTTCGCTCGATCGATACCGTTAATGGAGAACGGATAGATAGATGATTGCTAAGCGTATCTTCTTTCTCTTTTTCGAATATTTTATTCGATAAACTTGTCACGGGTCGGTAAGGATATAGGACGAGCAAGTCGCATGGCAAACAGCCCGTATAATCGCGTCCGATCAATCATGCTTTTTGTTCCCTTTCCCGGTACACGTACGCGTGTGGAAAACCGCGGATGCGTATACGTACGTCGATCATGCCCGAGGTTTTTAATTCGATTCCCGACGCGATCGACGAGGCCGATTATTAATACGAGACACGGGGAGAGTTCCGAAAGTTAAAGTCTTCTTCCGTGTTTCAAATTATAACGAGCATAAGTGGGTCACAGCTCGTGCAGGTGCACCGACCGTGTTTCGTCCATCATCGATACGCGACCCTTTGGTATCGATTCGCGAACCTGCACCGACTCCCTCAGTTCTAGAAATAAACATTTACATAGAAAAAGCAACTGGTACAGTTAGTAATAATGAAATTGAGTCAGCGATTTGAATGTGTTAGTTTCTCTTAGGAGGACAAAACTTAAAACGAGTAATAAGTCTACGTCTTGTTTTTTCAATAACAGTATCGATGCCAAATTGAAAAAATAAGATGTAGACTTATTATTCGTTTTGAATTCTGTCCTCTGCTAGGGGAAAGTAACACATTCACATAGCTGGCTCAATTTCATTGCTACTAACTATACGAACGCGATGTTTCCGTGTCTGATGAAAAAACAGAATGCATCGCATTAGCGAATCGTTCGATTATAAGAAGCACGAGAGAGACGTAATGGAGGCATAAAATCGTCGATAGTAATTGGAAATGCTCTGTACGCGTTAATTGTGCAATTTAAGCTGGTTCGAAATTAATCTATCGGGCTTGTATCTGAAAATGAACCGGGAGAGCAGATCGGACGAGATAAAAATGTAATGCAAATCTTCTGCACTGGAGCCAGTTTTATTTAATTAAGAGGCATTATCGTTCGGCCGTGTCTCGTATTGACGTTTAAATCTGCCCAAAAACCGGCAGGAACACGATAACCGTTGCCCGTGTATATTTTCCTGTTTATTATTAAAATATTCCGCCTCGTTACGTGACTGCTGATAGTATCCTGTAATTCGGTATGCGATAGAAATTATATTCGCTGCTAATCGAACGAATTACATATCCGAGTACTCGATTAATCACCGTGAAATACTTAGTCCGAAATACGTTAGGCAAAAATTTCTTCCTACCTATATAATATCCTCGATAATAAGTTAATTCGGAACAATAAGTCCGAGCGTCGATTTTCCGGAATAATTTAATCGAATATCTCCGCAACGAGGCGTGATCGCTGATTGCGTCGAGGCAAACAAACGTAGGCGAGCTTATGCAGCGTGAACAGGGTAAACGAAATAAAAAGAAACCACCAGGTAGGTATGCATGCGCCGCGTCGGGTGAATAAAATTCCTCGTAACCGACGTCACAGAGAAACTGCACGCACGTGGAAACAATTGTTTAGCGCGGCAGTGTCAAGGTAACGACGACAGTTATAAAACGCGAGAAAATTGTGCGAGCAACGAAAGGGGGAAATGACCGTGGATGAAAAAAGGTACAAGAAAAAAATGGGTCGCGAGTCGGTTTGACGTCTGCCTGTCGCGACCATCGCGCGTCGTCGAAACTCGGCCCGGTCGATTTT